GGAATGCTGGGATTTGGTGCTGCATCGCTAGGGCCCGGGCCTCAGGTGATCGTAACAGTTCTGCCCGCCTGCTCCCCCGTGTCAACTCCAGGCTGTGCTGTAGACGCTCAGCTCTGCCCAAGCCTGCTCGTCTGTTCTGGCCTCTCCTGGTCTGTTCCCCACGGGGACTCCTGGGCTGCGGGCTGTGCTCCTCCAACTGCCCACGCTTTCCCAGCAGTCCCCCAGGCGCCACTAATCGGAGCTTTCCTGCAGGGGCTGCTGGACATGATGATTGCCGAGGAGGAGGACCTGAAGGAGCGCCTGCTCAAGAGCATCTCCACGTGTCGCAAGGAGCTGGACACCCTGTGCCAGGAGCTCCACTTAGATCCTTTCGAAGTGAGTCCCAGCGCTGGCTTCCTTGTTTTCTCCCACCCAGGTCGCAACAGCCTGCTCCTAGCTTGGCCTGGCCCCAGGTCCTCCGGGGGGGGATGGCACTCAGCTGTTTTGGACCACTGCTGATGATGTGTCCCCTCAGGAGGAGGAGAGCACCATCCTGCAACTAGAGAGGGAGCTGCGCACCCACATGGAGGTGTTGCTGAATCAGAAGCGGGAGAGAAAGCAGGAGCTGAAAGCCCTGCAGGATCGAGACCGGGATCTGTGCAACCTCCTTTGCGCCCGCCCGTACAGCATTGACAGCAGCGCCGTACCCAGCCTGGAGGAGCTCGATGGCTTCCGGCGCCACCTGGCCACGCTGACAACCGAGAAGGTCCGAGGGGGTGGGGTGTGTGCATGGGCACAAGCTCTGCGTGGTGCTGCCAGCTTCTAACCCTGCCTCCCTCCTGCAGGAGCGCCGGCGAGAGGAGTTCATGCGCACCAAGCGGCAGATCATCAAGTGCATGGAAGAGCTGGAGCATGTCCCCGACACCAGCTTCGAGCAGGATGTGGTGTGTGAGGACGAGGAAGCCTTCTGCCTCTCCACCGAGAACATTGCTGCACTCAAGGAGCTGCTCCAGCAGGTAGGGGCCCCGGGCCTGAGCTGCCCGGGCCGGGGCTTTGCCTGAAAACACTGAAGCTCCTGGACAGGGCTTGCTACATGGAGGTTTGAAGGGCCTGGTGGGGGCTTTGCCCAGGCCCCCCCCCCCAGGGGCTCTGCGCGGGGTGGAGCAGGACCCGGCAATGCCTGCTGGGAGCTGTGTGCTGACCGCTGCCTCCCCACTGCAGCTGGAAGCCCGGCAGGCACTTAACGAGGCGGTGTGCGCAGAACTGCGTTCCCGAATCCTGGAGCTCTGGGACCGCCTGCAGGTTCCAGCCGAGGAGAGGGATGCTGTGGCCCCACACATGACCGGGTCCCGCGCCAGGACCAGGAGAGAGGTAAGGAAGCCTGCCTGCCTTTGGGGGAGGGCAGGCTGCCTGCTCCTGGTAGCGCAGGCAGGGGGGAGGACCCAGCACTCCATCCTGTAGCTCTTGTGCAGGAGTCTGCAGCCGCTGAAAGCTGTTAGTCCCTGGAGCGCAGGCTGCTCCTGATACCCTGAGCCCGTGTGTGGTCTGCTCCCTCCCCAGCTGCAGCTGGAAGTGGACCGCCTGGAGGAGCTGAAGCTGCAGAACATGAAGGTGGTGATCGAGGCGATCCGCGTGGAGCTGGCAGCCTACTGGGACAAGTGCTTCTACAGTCCAGGCCAGCGGGAGGGTTTTGCCCCCTATTATGATGGTGTGTTGGGACCGGGGGGTTGGAGCCTGGTGTGCTGTGGGGGTTCCTGCTTGCAGCCGGCCTGGCCTTGTAACCCCGCTGTCGTCTTCCCAGAGGACTACACGGAGACCCTGCTGCAGCTCCATGACGCTGAGGTGGGGAGGCTGAAGCACTACTACGAGACACACAGGGAGCTCTTTGAGGCCGTCCAGAAGTGGGAGGAAAACTGGAGACTGTTCCTGGAGCTGGAGGTATTGACCCTGTGGGGAGCAAGTCTGAGCTATAGGTGCAGCACCAAGTGTCTGGCCCGGGGCTGTAGGGATCCGAGCCAACGATATCTGAGTTCAAGGGCCTGGGGTGGGGTAGTCTCCTCTTCCTGCACCGTGGGGGGGGGGATCGCAGGGTGCTGGGGTGGGCCTGGGCTGCCTTGTAACTGGGCTCTTGCACCTCAGCGCAAATCAAGCGACCCCAACCGCTTCGCCAACCGCGGGGGGAACCTCCTAAAGGAAGAGAAGCAGCGGGCCAAGCTGCAGAAGACTCTCTCCAAGGTGAGTGAGGCTCTGGGTGGGGGTGCCTGGGCCCCCCAAGTGTGCAGGTGCCTGCCCTCCTGCCCTGAGTGCTGGGGAGCTGGACTGGGGGTGGGGTCGTGGGTCTCCCACGGGGTCCAATGCTCGGGCCATCGGCAGGGACAAACAGACCACCCCCTGACGCCCCTTCCTGCAATCTGGCCCAGCTGGAGGAGGAGCTGCGCGTGCGCATTGAGGGCTGGGAGCATGAGAACCAGGAGGCTTTTCTGGTGAGCGGGCAGCAGTTCATGGAGTACGTGGCAGAGCAGTGGCAGCTCTTCCGCCTGGAGAAGGAGAAGGAGAAACAGGAGCGCGTGAGTGTGGGGCTGAGCGGCAATGGCAGCAGGGTGGGCTCAGATACGACGGGGTGCCCCTGCCCTCAGTCTGGTGCACCCCTTCCCTACCACGTGTGCTGGGCTGGTATGGGGCGGCGCAGTGCCTGTCTGAGGCCTATCTGAGGAGAGGGTACATAGCTCCAGTGCTGACAGACGCCAGTGTGTTGCCCAGGCTGGATCCCTCCTGTCTGGCGAATGGGCCTGAGCACATGTGAGGAGCTGCCCTTATGCCCTGCCTGCAGCTCCTCACAACTGCAAGTGCTGTGGTGCAGCTCTGTGCCAAGGGGTAGGGCCAGCGGCATCCCACACGCTCTGGACAGGCTGGGTTCCCTCTCTCCTGGCTGTCCTGACAGCAGGGCCCTCGCGTGTCCTCGGCAATCCTGGTTTGTGCGGGGGGTCCACTGGCTCTGCGCTCTCCTCCCAACCCTGCCTATTGGGCACAGCTGTAGTCGCAGCCCTGGGCACTGCCGCCCTGTGCTGCCACGTGTCTGGCGCAAGGTAGCTGGGACCAGTCACACTTGGGCTGGGCCATCCCTCGCCCAGTCCTGTCTGTAAGCATCTCTCCCGTGCAGCAACTGAAGAAGAGTCGGCAGATCGAGGGAGAGCTGCTGTATGGCGCCGTGGCCAATCCACCCGCCAAGCGCTGTGTGCTTGGGCCCCACGTGCCTGGCAAAGTAAGAAAGGTAAATTGCATGCCTCCTCCATCACAGCTGGTGCAGGGGTTCAGTTTTCCGGGGGGGCTAGCTGGTGCCCCTGAGCTGGAGAAGCCGGCACTGCAGACCCGGTGGTGACAGCAGTGTTGGTTGTCTCATGGTGGCACCGGCTCGTCTGCTGCATGCTTTGACTGGCTGCGCCCTCCAGCAGCAGCCAGGTCTGTGGCGTCCTTGCTGTGGCTACCCATGTTGGGCTGTGTGGCTGGGCTCTGGGCCGCTGTGATGTGCCCACATCCTCCGCCAACCTGCTTTCCCCTCAGCTACCCCTCCCAACAGCACCATGCACTCATGCTTCAGCACAGTGCTCTGCCACTCCCCGGTGTCCTGGGTGCCACCTTTCACAGGCAAAGTGAGTGCGCACAGCCGTCTGCCCTGCCAGGGCCCTCTCTGTGGGTCTGCCACCCCCAGCCACCCAGGGGACAAGGGGAATGTGAGGCATGGGGTGGGGTGAGACCCCCTTGCTCTATCCTGGGCTGCTCCGCTAGGATAGGGCCCCTGAGCCAGCACCTGCAGGTGTGCCAGGTAGAGCTGCTGTTGTGTCCTAGTGCCCTGCTGCCCATGGGAGTGTGGCCTGGTCTGGATGCAGCCCTAGGCCCTGCCTCCCGTCTTCCTGGGGCTCTGGAGCGCTGTGGGCAGGCTTGCCTGGCTGGGCATAGTGCAGGCTGCTGTGCTGTGCTGTGCTGGAAGGCTGGTGAGTGACTGGGCTCCAGCGCAGCTTGACTGAGCTCTGGTCTGGGACCAGGGTCGGGGCAGGAATGGGGATGAAGCCAACAGCACAGGGCCTGTTGGGCTCTGCTTGTCAGTCCTGCTTAACCACGCTTCTCTGTTGCAGCTCGGCCAGTCTGCTCGGCCCCCCGGCCATGCGGCCGCCCAGCCCCTGCGCTCTGGCCTCAAGGAGCGCAACAAGGAGAACGTGCCACAGCTGCATGGCCCCGGGCTGAGCGGTGGGTGCACCCCCATGAGTAACCACAGCGTTAAGTCTGTTGCCAGCACCTACTCGGAGTTTGCGGTAATTCACCTCTTTTTCAACCCACCTACCGCGTTGCGTGCAGCACGTGGCGCCAGGCCCTGCCCTGTCCAGCCCACCAGTGCACCCCTGGATCCAGCTTGGGCTGGTCTCTGCTCTGAGTGGAGCCTGGGCACATGGATATGGTGCTGTCTCCAACTCCAGTGAAGTCACAACCAGCACCTCTGCCTCAGACCCGGTTTTTGGGAAGGGACCCAAGTGGCTCCTTGCCACTCCCCTCAGTGCGGGGCACAGAACAGCTTGCTCACCTCCTCCTAACCACTCCCACCCCAGTGCAGGGGGGCTGGGAAGCGTGAGGGAAGAGACCCGACCCCTGCAACCCAGCCCTGCTGTGGCCACATTCCCGAGCCCCAATGCTCTGAGCCAGCTGGAGTAGCGCTTTGCTGCTTAGACAGCCTGTGGCCTGGCCAGGGCCAGTGCTCATGGCTCCAGTGCCATCATCCACCATGTCACTGGCCTCTCTCTTTTTTTTGCAGCACCAACTCTCAAAGGCCTCCAGGTCTGACAACAGCTCCCACGTCCTGAACTCCACCACCACCACCACCCTGCACTGCTGAGGCACGGCTGCCTGGCCTGGCCCCAGCGCCGCCACCAGCCGCTGTTCCCAGAGCCACCGCGCGCACCTGTCTCAGCCGCTGCCTGTCTGCTGGAGCCGGGTGGGCCCTGCCCCAGGCCTGACTTCAGCTTGGTCCCCTGGTGCTTCTCTGCTGCTTCGCCTAGTCGGGATCCCTGTTTTTATGGTGATTTAAACGTTTGCTTTCCTGCCCCAGCCCTGCTGCCACCTCTGCACTAGCTCAGCCTGGCGGCAGCCAGCCCCCCACCAATGAACTAGGTCAACACCTGGCTGCAGGGCTCAGGCCGGGGGGGCCGGAGCATAAGCTGGTTAAAGGGTGGGGGCCTCGGGCTACGGGTACTGCTGCCCCTGCCACGCTCAGCACTGCTGCACCTCCCCATGCTTATAAATACTGGCCCTGGACCGGTGGATAGGGTGCACCTTGTTAACACTACAGCCTTGCTTGGTTATTTATTCCCTGCTGCCTGGGCCCAAGCCGCTGCGGGTGGAGGGCTCCTGCTGCGTGTCTGTTTGTTCGTGGGGGGCCTGCTTGTGAGGAAGCTGTTGGGCATGTGTACGGGACTTGTTTTAACCGCTGACTGACCCGCTTCCCTGGTTGCCTTCTGGTGTCGAAGGGGAAGCGGGTTCTGTAACAAGACAAAGAAAGAATACACGAATAAACAATAAAATGGGGATCCGTGTGCCGAGGCCGCGCAGCTTGGTGGAGGGGGTGCTTCAGGTGCTGCTCAGTCTGTGCCTAGGGGTCTGCTCGTCTCCTCCCTGCAGTGGCACCACTGCCAGCATGATCTGTTATCCATAAAGTGGCAGCGAGGTGCCCCATCTCTGCAGCCAGAGGCCGAGGGAAGCCAGCAGCAGCACACGGCACCTGTTGCTTGACCCTGCCCTTTATTAGCATTCCTTGCAGGCCCCAGCTGCTGGAAGCCGAGGTTGAAGTGCTACACGTCCAGCCCAGCACAGGGCTTTTGCTTCCCTCCTGGAGGAGACTGACACATCCAACATGGCCTGCCTACAGCACGGGGCCGGGCAGGTGTCTGCCAGGCTCGGTGCCAGCAGCAGCGCTCAGGAAGGCTCTCCTTTCTCCACGGCACGCACGTAAGTCGTCCATGGGCCGCACACCACCTCCTCTACGCGCAGCCCATTGGCAGGGAAGTAGGCAACAGCTTGAGGCTGGTCGGAGCTGGCTCTGTCCCCATGCCCCAGCTGGCCGTATTTACCTGTGGAGGGAGAACGCAGGCCTGTGCTGCTGCCAAGTACCTAGCAGCTGCAGCGAGCTCCAGCCTGCCGAGTGCAGCTGGGAGGAGAGGGGGCCGGGTAGGAAGGGAGAGGATGTCACTTACCCCAGCCCCAGGTGTAGAGCTCCCCTTCCCCTGGAAGGAAGGCAGCCAGAGTCAGAGCAGGGCCCCCTGCCAGTTACCACCCTCCCTCCCAGCCCTGTGCTGGACCTAAGTCACCCTGGAGCCAGCGTGCGCAGTCCTGGGCCTGGCCAGGGTGTTTCAGGGATGCAGGGGTCTTGGAGGGGTGCATCGCAGGCTGCTCCACACTAGTCACCAAGGCTCGGGTGCAGGGCCAGTGTGTGCTGCATGTTGGGGCAGGGAGGTACTGTGCACCCGTGCAGGGTGCTCTGGCCTGGCTTCAGCCCGCCCCCCTGCTTGCAACAAAGCACGGGCTCCAGGAGGCTGCAGCTACCTATCCCCATATACCTGCGACACGGGGGAAAGGCTACACACACTTACTGGTCACAGTGGCCGTGTGCCGGGACCCGCAGTTGACCTGGCGGACCTCAGCCCCGCGAGGTAGGTCCAGCAGCGCTGGGAAGGCCTGGATTGAAATGAAGTGACTGCCTGCAGCAGCCTGGTGTGCTCCAGGGCTGGGCACCGAGTCACCTGGAAAACAGCCAGGCGCAGCTGGGAAACTCAAAGCCAGCAGAGGCTGCCCCAGCTGCGCTGCCAGCACACTCCCCTCCCACCTCCCATGCTGCTGGTGCTTCCCTTGCAGGGAGTGTGGGGCTTTGGGGGCAGACAGCAGCTCCTGCCCCCACTCCTGGAGGCTGGCAAGGGGGACTGGGATCAGCTAGAGATCAACTCCTGCCGGCAGCAGCCACAGGACCATTGGCAAATGGTTTTGAGTGGAGTCCCACGGGTCTGCCCTACATGTTCGTTAATAATTTGGGCACTGCCAGAGGAACCTTCTTGAGCACATTTACAGATGCCACAAGACTGGGAAAGATAATGAACGTGCTGGAAAATGCAAGTGCAGGTCAGAAGGATCTTGACAGACTGGAAAGTTGGGCTGGAGCAGCAGGATTAAGCTCGGTGCAGACGAACGCAAGGTGCTGCCCCTCAGGAGTAATCCAAAATACCAACAGAAAATGGAAAAGGATGCAGGAGTCCTGGCAGGTCAGACTCGCTAGGAGCCTGCAGCATGGTGCAGCTGCATGAAAGGCCGATGCGACTTGGGCTGCATCAATAGTAGCATCAGGTGCAAGATCCAGGAGGAGACGGTGCAGCTCCCCCACTCAGCCCGTTATCCCCCGTCTGTCCTGGGTGCAGGTCTGGTCTCTGCCTTTCTGCCACCATTCACAGACGGAGGCTGGAAGGGACCTCGGAAGATCACCGGGTCCAGCCCCCTGCACCAGGCAGGAAAGACAACGGGGCAGGTGCCTACCCTGGAAATGTTCGAGAGACTGGGTGGGCGACTGCACCCCTCTGGCGGGAGCTTATTGCACAGTCTGGACACCCTCACTACGAAGTTTTTCCTGATGCTGAGCCTAAAATAGTCTTCCAGGAGTTTGTGACCGTTGCTCCTGGTTTTCCCCCCCACGTACCCTGGTGAACAGCTGTTGACATATTCCCCATATACAGCAGGAAGCTGCTACCAAGTCCCCCTCAGCCGTCTCTTATTCAGGCTGAAGAGTCCCAGGCCCCTCAGCCTTTCCTCGGATGGCTCGCCGTGTACGACTCTGCTCATACGGGTGCCTCTTCTCTGGACTCTCTCAAGCTTTTCCACGTCCTTGCTGACGTGCAGCACCCAGAACTGGACGCGGTCCTCCAGCTGCGGTCTCGCCAGTGCTGAGCACAGCAGAAGCATCACCGTGGTTTTGCTGGAGATGCATCAGTTGATACCTGCCATGGTGCTGTTTGCCCGGCTGGCTACAGCCTCGCGCTGCCGGCTCATGGTCATATGTGGTCTATTATTACCCCCAGGTCCCTTTCATTCGTGGTGCCAGCCAGCTTGGTGCTCTCAAGCCTGCAGGTGCGTTGGGGGTTGCTCATCCTGAGATGAGCACTTCACATTTCTCAGCGCTGTACATCAGCAGGTTCCAGTCCGCCCAATTCGCCAGCCTGTCTAGGTCCGCCTGAATCTACAACCTATCTTCAAGTGGGACCATGTTCCCCATAACTTGGTGTTGTCCATGAACTTGGCCAGCGCGCTCTTCACCCCCACATCCAAATCATTAACAAAGATGTTGAAAAGCACCGACCCCTGCGGGACACTTCTGCCCACTTCTTGCCAAGATGACAGATCTGTTCCTACCCCACAGCCAGCTCCCGACCCACCTGCCTGTCTCACAGGTAAGCCCACAGTTCTCCAAGTTTTTCACGAGAACGGGGTCGGAAACCAGATCAAAGCCCTTTTGGAAGTCAAGGTACACAATGTCGGCCTCCTGAGGGTCCAGAGGCAGCAGCAGAGATGATCGAGGGCTTGGAAAGCAAATCCTAGGAGAGGCTGAGGGAGCTAGGCACGTTCACCTTGTGCAAAAGGCACTAAAGTGGGGTCGAGAGCAGTCTGTGCAGAGCTGCCCTGAAGGACAGGGAGAGCTCCTTTGCTCTCCTGCCACAGGTGCCGACCAGTGGCTTGAAGATGCAGCAAAATTAATTTAGTTTGGATGCCTGGAAACGCTTCGCCCCCGTCAGAGCAGGGAGGCCGTGGGAGAGATGCCCAGGCAGGGGCGGACTCCATCCCTGGAGGTGTTCAAGAAGAGGCTGGGCGGCCAGGGGGAAGGAGCGAGCCGGGCAGGCCTGGCAATGCCTGTTCGCCCCGTGGGTCTCCCTCTGGTTGCTGCTTGCTCCCTCTCCGCCCCTTATTTATCGTCTGCCTCCCCGGAGGCACCGGGCGCTGGCTACAGCCAAGGCGAGGGACGGCAACGGGACGCGCCGATTCTGCTGCTGGGACAAACGCTGGAGGGTGCAGGCGAGAGGGCCTTGCCCCTGCGCCCGGGGTCAGGAGTGAAACTTACCGTAGCCGGCCCTGGGGCAGCGCTTGCCTTTGTCTGCAGCAGGGGCGCGGGCTCGGCCCGGCGGGTCCCGTGTGCACCAACGTCGGCTGCCGCGGTCCTGCCTTTCCTACAGCCGGACCCTGCCTCGGGCTGGGGCTGGGGCTTTGCCCCGCGCCGATGCCTCCCGCCCCTGCGCTCAGCCCCATAGCGCCGT